ATGTCTGTGACGGGTTTAGTAAATTACTAAAGTATAATTTCAGCATATCTGCCTCCATTGTAATCGTTGAACTTGTATTTCCATTTATTTCTCTCGCAATTTTCCACCAGTCTTTGTTTGTCTTTACATTTTGTATCTTAGCATCCAATTGTTGGTAGTATCTCTGTTTGGCTTCTGCACATATAACTTTATAGTGCTTATTATCTTTTAAGTAAATCTCTTTGTTCTGGCTGCTACTTACTTGTCTAAATTTTTCTAGGCTTTTGAATGTTTCCTGTCTCGCTTTATGACATCTCCAGTTAAACCAATTTTGTTTTTTCTCTAAGGAGTGTTCCCTAATTTGTGTTTCTTTATGGGCCGATTTAATTACATAAGTTATATCCGTCAGAGTTAGCAGATCTTTATTCTGTTTTACATTTAATAAGGTTTCACTTATTCGCTGTTTATATGCTGTTACTTGCTGTTTATTCCATTTCAATTTTGGAAGTAAATTTGTATTTGTTCTTACCGTTTCTATATCTGTCAATCTTAACGTTAAAACTATAGGAAAATGGTCAGACCAGTGTGTGTTTCCGACTTCAAACTTATCGATAAATTCAAGTATTTCTAGGGAGACTGCACAGATATCATTTACTGACATTCCAACTCCACTACAGAATGTAATTTCTCCTTCCTCATCACCTTTTGTCATTCCATTCGCTATTACAAGTCCGTTGTCACAGCATAAATGTATAAATCTATGTCCACGAGAGTTTTCCACTTCGTCTTTAGATTTCCTTTCTTCGAATCCAGCCGTAAAGTTCGCTATATATTCCTCTTCCAAGTAGTTTTGCATTTTACCAATTCTGACATTCAGGTCTCCAATCACAATAAGATTTTTAATTTCATTTTCCATAAATATTGTCTCCAGTTTACTAAATTCGTCGGACCAGGTTGCGCTTCTTATGTATAAAGGTACTATATTTATTTGAGTGTGTCCGAATTTTATATATATTACATGACATTCCTGAATTATTTTAGTATAACAATTAATTCGTAGGTTTGCCAATTCCTTTTTTATTGCTAGCAGTATACCTCCACTATATCTTCCATAATTATTAATTCTTGTTGCATATTTCCATGTTAGATTGTAACCGCCAAAATATTTACTCAGACTTTCTGCTTTATTTTCATTTACATGGGTTTCTAACAAGAAGAATATATCAAAACGCTTAATGTATTTAAAAAAATCTGGAAACATTAATTTATTTTCTAATCCGTTGATATTATACGATACTATACTTAAACTATGCTTATCTATTTCTTTTATTTGTTTACTTATTTTATATTCTAGTTTTTTGACTTTTCTAATAGGTTCTTAAAGTCTAAAGTATATTTCTTAATATTATCACCATACTTATGCTTAAGGATGTCTTCGGCTTTTTGAACCCCACACATTAAGATGAACTCCTTATTGAATGTGCACCAGTTTTCGCCTATCTTGATTGCATCGTTTTTTACATATACTTTGTACTTACGGTCTACGTTCAGGATATCCGCTTTCAACTGCAGTAGGGCTTTCTTGCATTCTAGTCTCTTCTTATCTAAGTCCCTCTCTATTGTTATTTTATGTCCTGATAAATTTTTGACACTTTTAAAAACTTCTGTTGCCATGTCTTCAGAACCCATTTCTGCCACTACGCTTATTCTTTCATTTCTTGTGTAGATAATTCTTGCTGACGCGATTTTTACCTCCGGTAGTTTTAATATATGATTACAAACCATTTCGACTGCTTTTTTTGGACTGTTAGCTTTTTCTAAGCCTTTAAATATTACATTTTTTCTTTTACTTTGGCTTATAAGGCGGTCTATTTCTAATTGCTCATGTTCCCTCTCGCTCTTTAATTTCTCTAGTTCCTTCTTGAGTTCGCTATTCTCCTTAGCTAGATTTTCAACTTTATGATTTATATTGCCCATCTTTGCTTTTATATCTTCCAGATCTTTTTTTGTGGCCACATTTTGTAGTTTATCATCTAATAGGTTTGATAATACACTCATTAGATCTGACAGCTGCATATTACCCACTGAATTTTTGAGTACCATACTTTCCTGTTGTTCAGGCGATGTTTCCTTTAACATTCTTTTCGCACCGCAGCCTGTTGGTACACTTACGCCTGCTGGAACGTTCGGTGGTGTGCGATTCATTTTTGGCACAATTGATTGTCTTTGATATTTTATTAAAACAAATTAATTATTGTTAACTATAATTTTTTAATTTAATTTATTGCCTACTTTTAGGTAATTTACAACGAGATCACGTAAAGTAAAGACACCAATCCTTTCTGAGATACTGTTCTTTATGAAATACGTTCAGTTTTTAATAGTTTAATAATTACTTTGAAACACTGTTCTAAATTGAAAGCTTGTTTTAAATATTAACAAAGGCGAATATTTATGCTTTACGAGTTTATGGAATATAAAGAACTAAATAAGTAAATTAATTATTTGTTAAAACAATCATATATTTTAACTATATGGGATTTTTTTTATAGCTCAAATATGCACATAAAGAGAGAAATTGAATCTAATGATGAAGCCTCTAATAAAATGAGAAATGAGTTGTTTAATTTTAATGAGTTTCTAGATTTCATTTGGTATCAGTGGTTAAAAAGTTATTACTGGCTCGAACGGGTTGAAGGAACAATTGGTATGTGCAAGTTTTGCTTAATTAAAATAAATTGCAAGTATATTCACTTGCGAGAACGCCATCAAAGATCCCAAGCACACAAAGACGCAGTTAAATTGAATGGATCGGGAGAGGAGAATGGCGTCTTTACTATGTAATACTTTAACTTTTTTAACAAATCCACTTTTGAATACTAACTAAATTTTAGGAATAATTGGTTGTTAACTCTAACTAATTTTAAAGAACAGAGCTATTGTGTGCTCTGTGATATTTACATAAAATCAATTTATTTTAAACATCACACTAGAGGATGTAATCATACGAAATTTCTAACATTAATACACAAGGATCAATCGATAGTAAAGTACGTGTTTCAATAGTATAAGTCATTCCTTTTAAAATAATATTTTTCCACAATTTTAGTGAAACTGCAGAAAAAATAAAGAATGAGACTTTGTTCATAATTAATAGTAAAACTTATTCGTGTATTAGTGACGAGTTACGAAAGAAGTATGATTGGGTTTCTTATGACGGTCAAAATGCATTGATGGCATTTTGCAAAGTTTGTAATAAGAATATTACTCTCCCTTGGTCTGAAACTAAGTTGAAGTTACATGAAAAAATTGCTCATGGAGAATACAGAACGAACATATATAAAAATTACGTGGAAAGGTAAGATGTTAGCATGTTTTTCTAGCATACTTTGTATTTTATATGATATTAACTTAGAGTAAGGCAAATTGCATTAATTTAATTAATTGAATAAACTCTTTTGTATTTAGTTCTCAAAGAATTGAGGAATGCGAAGAGAATGTGTACCAAACAAAACGTGTGCATCGTACAAAAGAAAATATGAACACTAAACGTGCAAAATACGCTGAAGACACGCAATCAAACAATGATGAAGACGAATCAGAATCGGATACACTCGTATCAACTAGAAATACATATGACTTATTTTTTAGAAGTGTAAGCGAAACTGTCAAAAGGATACCCAGATTTTTGGCAGTGGAAGCTAAACTGACCGTCTCGAAAATCATCTATGATCTCGAGATGCGTGCAATGAGGCGGTTATAGTCATTTTTATTTATATAATATAAGTCAACACCTTGACTATTTATCCACAATTTGTGTTAATATATAAATCAGATGTTCCGTTTTGAAATTGAATTCAATAACTATTAAATTAATTAATTACTTAATAAAGTAAGAATGTTTAAAACTTTTCCATATCTTTAACGTGAACTTGTAATTTTAATTGTTTTGTTTATGAAAAGCTTGAAATGGAATTTAGTGTAATATGACATCTCATTTGATTGGTGCTTCAGTTAATACGTTATTTGGATTTTACTCAAGTTCTACTTGAGGTAACCCATGGAACAGATCTGATCTGAACTACTGATAATACTTTGTGTGAGTTGAACTAAATTGAACTGAAAATATGTTTTCAAAGAATTTTTTGCCTCTGTATTTATGTCCGTAACATAGTCAATTAGTCGAAGGATTTTTGAGTATTTGATTTTTATATTTTGATACATTAAGTGTAAAGGATGCGTGCAAAATATTTACAATTCACAAAATAATGAAATAACATTTCTCAGTTAATAATATGAAATATCAAATTTGCTTTTTAAAGCTAGCCATAGTACTAATAACCGTTATGTGCGAAAAATTAATAAAACTCCAATAATAAAGATGTCTTGAAAAACTTTAACATTGTAGAAAGCTTTTTTATATGGAGTTTTATGTTGATTTTTCGTAAGATATGGTTGTTAGTACTAGGCTCAACCTACACAAATATCTTGTCATAAAATAAATGTTTGTGCATGTTTTCTATATGTTGTGTCTGCCTGTTGGTACATTGACGCTTTCAGAAGTCGCTCATGCCACTATGGCTAGCCCGGTATGCTCGCCGATTTTGGGATGGGGTTCTTGGTAACTGAGAAAATTCTAAAGATAACAATCAAAAAAAGAATTTTAGTGCCATTAAAAATTTTTACACACATGCACAGGAATAATTAGATCAAACAGAGAATATGACACCTTTACCATTCTTTATCCATAAATTACTTTCATTTCGCCCCAGTATTCCTACATGTCCTTCAGTCTTGTCTAATTCATTATATGAATAATTTGTTTAACGCATTTCAACTCTACCTCTACGCACATTCATAATAAACCCCTGTAACCCTATTAGAGCCTACAATTGTTTTTAGCCGGACATTTTGGCGATTTAACGAACAGCCAACTCAACGAACCAAAATTTGTTTCAATTCCTCATAAATTAACACTATAAGTCTTTCTTTTTTTACCAGTTTTATTTCTAATTTAGAATAACATATTATGAATAAAATTGTTAATTAAACGATATTAAAAAATTATGATATAACAATTACAAACACACAGTATATAATGTAAAAGCACACCGCCACCACCATGTTTATCTGTAGCAATTGTATTTGTTTTTATTTACTTAAATAGTTGGTTATCTTCACACGTGGATTTGACCATCTTGACAATCACTGTATTATATTAGAAAAAAAACATGGATTTAACATGGAGCAGTGAGTTCTGGCTGAGTAATGTTTTATACTTTTAACATTCTAATTTAATGTTTCTTACGGGAGTTGGGTGCATTCACATTCCACATATGTGCAATTAGGGCAGCTGCAATCTGAAATTTAAGTGAAACATGCGAATAATGGCAATTTCTATGAAAACTCGCCTAAAATTATGTAAAAACTTTAGAAAAACGTCTGAACTATAGTACTTCCTTCAGTGTTCTTGAGTATTTATATTGCAGTTCTTAAGTGGAAGACAGTTTCATATTAGCATGCTTTATGTTATTTATTTAATTGTTCTTTATTTAATATTAATAAAGTTCGTTTATTATACACTGGTCGATCCACGGTTGCGTTTTCATGTGCGTATAAATAAACTAATGCTTCACCTTAAACTTATGCATAACTATATCTCTAAGATGTTGTCCTGAACCCCTTTCGAACCAGCTCTGAACCGATTTTATGTATGTGTTTTAGACATACAAAGTGAATTTCAGTTACAACAAAGGTTTCCATTTAACGTAAGGCTAACTATATTTGTAGTTTTGTTTTTTCATCTATGAATGTCGGACGTGGTGTTGCTGTCAGTTTGTTGAAAATCATCTTAAAGCAAAATTGATGCATCTCCGAATAGTGCATCATTTTCAGTTAAGTCTTTGAGTGTTCTATCTAATGGCGTTTGTATCTGTTGAATTTGGACTTAATCTAAATTTACTCTAGATTTGCCAAATTTTGTTGCCATATTGAACATTTTTAGGATAATCTGCAATTTTTGTGTTGTGTTCACCAATATATACACCAATTGAACTAAAATGTTTGCACCAACTTCTTTTTCTAAGTAGTTGTACACAACATTCACGACAATACGATTGCGACCATTTAATTATCGTTTTGCTGTCTTTCCGAAGCGTTTTGGAAAGTCTGAGTTAATCGACCTTTTGCATTCAATAAAATTTTTCAAATCTAACAATGGCCCTTTCTACAAACATTAACTTGCTGTTCTTCGTTTCCCCTCAAATAAATTGGCAAGAACTTTCTATTTTTATTTGACTTTGGAAGTAGGAGTATCTCAATGTCAATGATATAAATGCCATTGCATTTCGAAAGTACTGTTGAAATCGTGATTGTCATTATTTTGACAGATTTTTGTTGCAGAAAATGATGTCATCTGAAAGCCAGGATCAAATTTTCTTATATATCTTAAAAATAATATGTGAATTTATGGTCATTAACTATTTATGTTAATCTTCTGTAGTTGTTGGTGTTGTACAACCTTGCCATTGAAGGCAAGAGAAAGTCTCTTACGTTTATTTTATTAGGATGTATTCTTAGGGTGTTTCTCAATTCTTCCATGTTTCACTTACATTTCTTATTGGAGCTGTTCTAAGAGCAAATATATAATGTGACTACATACTTCAGTCTTCTTCCACAAAAAACTTTAAGTTTTTAGTTGTAAATATGAATTGGGTTGGATATTAACTCTGTGTACGTAAGGTTTTTTGCATAGCAGAGTGCCATGACCAACATACTTCATTTCGTTGGTAGTTCAAAAGAAGTTGTTTTTGATTTTGTGTTATAATTTTTCATAGAAAGTTGTTCTTTTCTGTTAGTTCCATTCGATCCACCAATTAATAATATTTCTCTCCATATTGGGCAGATTACTTTCGCACAGTAAGAAGGAGTTTGTCAAGCCATAACACTTATAACACTTTTCCGATTCATTTAACAAAGCTCCTTTAAACTGATTTATCTTCCACTCAATTCCACTCATTTCTTCACGAACTTGATTTTAAGTCAGCATTTTTTGATATATCTATTCTTCTGTCACTCAGTCACTCAGAAATAAGGCTTATGCCAATATCGTATTCACTCACAAATGAGAGTTATACAGTGTTAAGTAAGTTTGTTAAATTAATTATTAAGTGAAATTAAAATAGTTTGTTTATGTACATATATTCCGGTTTACTTCAATTCTTTTCATGTTTTATTTTAATAAATGTTAAAAAGACTAAAAGACGTCAATTTCCTTTACATATTTTAGTTTTATTTATATTATGTATTGAATTTCATTAATATTGTTATTTTCATTATTTCAGTCAATATTTGTAAAATTCGGTCGAAATCGAAACGTACGTCAACTCGTATAAGGAGAATTATTTAGCTGATCTTGTTGAATTATTAGTTCCTCATGCACAAACAAATAATGATATCGATTATATAGAACGATTTGATAATGAAGATGCCACAAAAAAAAAAAAAGATGCCAAGAAAACTGAAAATAATTGACGGGCCTTCATTTTTAAATGAAGATCATTCAAACACAAAAACTAATGCAGATCTTCAAGCTTTATAATCTGAAGGCGAAGAAATACCACCGGCTAAGTTTGCAAACGTTCAAATCGATACAAGCTTTGCAAAGCGAACACAATTACAATTAAATACATTTAAGCCAATTATGTGTGAGAAATCTTTACAATTTGATACGAATAGATCGAAAGAAGACACATATTTCGATATATATAAACCATATATAAAAACAGTAAATAAACGACAGCGTATCGTGTTAATTCAAAATATTTTTAAAGCTATAGTTACGACTTTAGATGACTGTAGAGACTTCAATGACTCTGTAATTGAAAGTCCACAAAGCAAAAAATTTAAAAAGAAAACAGTTGAAAATAAATCTTATTCAGTACCAATAGGACCAGGAGCCAGACTCGCACCAAGAGTATCATACACAGTTTCGGAAAGAGTAGATGGTGCTACGACTGCTATGGCAATTATTCAAAAATCGACTCTACCAATTTTTACGGTACATGCAAATAATGCTAGAGCAATTAATAATTTTAGTCATAGCCTCTTAAGACAAAATGCACCACAACCACCATCTGACAACAACAATTCTGACGACGAATTTGCTGGTATTATAAGAACGGATGAGTTGGGGCTATGGATAAAGGACGAACCACTTGACGATTATGATTTGTAATTCAGTTTTGAAAATATGGTTGTTTTGTTTTTTTTGATTTAATATTAAATTTATAAAATAATCGAATACTTAGTAATTATTAAAAATTTTTTTCTAATTTATTTATATATATAGAACTATAATTTATTTTTCAAAATTTTTATTTTAATTTACTTAACTAAATAATAATGTAAAAATTAGTGTATTAAATATGTTAAAATAAATTTGTTTAAAAAGTTTAAATAGAGAATTTGGCAAATGTAATACCTATTCGCCTGTTGAACAAAAACATCTCTTTTTGTATATATTTTAAGGTTTTGCCGGCCCATTGAATGATTTATTATTCAATTTATTTGAATTTGTTATAATTTATTAGGTATTTTTTATTTATGTATTGACTTATGTTAGTATGGATTAGTGTTGGTTATGACTTTTGGTCTTGGATAGCGGTGGATTCCGTGGTTCCGAGATACCAATGTTGTATTCTATTTCTTTTACTTTTATTTTTATATTATGTTATTATTATCATTTGTATATTTATAATATTTGTATACATATATATATTTATATTCATAACTATTTTTAAGTTTTTTAAGGATATAGTTTTTAAGATATTTTTAAGATATTTTTAATACAATCGTATTTTTAAGACATATGAGGACTGTTTCTTTAGTAACATTTCAATTTTCTACCACTCAGATGAATCTGGGGCTGGATAAATCCCAGACGAAACGCATCAGTGAAAACTGCTTAGAGGACTGTGACATGTGTTCTGATTACAGAACCTTATCTGCTAATAAAATGATATAACTTTTCTACAACTTTTTATATATATTCAAATTTTATCTTATAAATATTTATTCAATCTTTATTATTTTATTTCATTAACATACAAGTTTTATTTTATTAATATAAAAGTTTTTATTATTTTACAATCTTTATTTTATAATTGCACAATATACTTATAATTATACAGTGCTTTTTTGTAATTGTTATTTTAAATTTATTTGTACGATCTTTACATTTATGCAATTTATTTTGATACAATCAACATTTTTCTATAATCCTTTTTTTCTACAATCTTTTTATATATCTTTAATTTCTTTTGATATATCTTCCTTTGTTTCTCTACAATCTTTATTTATACAATCCTTTAAAGCTGCTAATTAGATATCCGTGATCATAAGTCACTGTGGCCGGTGGTCGTTATTTAGCGACACACTGTGAGCTTGGCCATGCAACCGTTTCTCCATGGTTGTAGGAACAAGACGGCAAACAAAATTCCGGCTGTTCGATACAGCCAGGGGCTTGTACATCAAATTAACAAATGAATCATAATTTAAAAGGCAGTGTATATTAATTGTGCAAAGGTAGCGTAATCATCAGTCCTTTAATTGAAGACTGAAATGAATGGTTGGACGAAATATAAGCTGTTTCATTCAAATTTTCTATAAACTTTTATTTTTTATGTGAAAAGGTAAAATATATTCAAAAGACTAGACGACCTTATAAATCTTAATTATTTGATCACTTTTGATTTATTTTGATTATTTTTGTTATAAATTTATTAATTAATTTCATTGTGGTGATATTAAAACTTAAATATCTTTCAATAATTTTTATCATTTATTAATAATAAGATGATCCATTATTAGTGATTAAAAAATTAAGTTACTTTAGAGATAACAGCGTAATTTTTTTGAAGAGTTCTTATCAACAAAAAAGTTTGCGACCTGGATGTTGGATCAGGATTCATAAATAAATGCAGAAGCTTAAATATAAACCCGTATTGACTTTTTATTCTTACATGATCTGAGTTCAAACCGGTGTAAGCCAGGGTGGTTTTTATCTTTCATTCAATAAAATACTTTAGTACGAAAGGAGTTAATATTTACTTAAATGAAACTTATTTTATGAATAAATTTACTTACTTATTTTGGCAGATTAGTGCAATAAATTTAGAATTTATTTATATAATTTTAAAAATCATAAATAGTTGTTTTCTTTTAAATGAAATTATTATATCTTTATTAAGAAGTTTATTATTAATTATTAGTGTTTTAGGGGGTATTGCTTTTTTGACTTTGTTAAAACGTAAAGATTTAGGATATATTCAGATTCGTAAGGGTCCAAATAAAGTTGGATTTATTGAAATAGTTCAGCCTTTTAGTGATTATTTAGTAACGAACAAACTTATCCATTAATATCAAATTATATATCTTACTATTATTCTCCTATTTTTTCATTGTTTTTATCTATATTACTTTGAATGTGTATACCTATGTTGAGAAGATTATATAGATAGATTAATTATAGAAGATTATATAGATTTAATTGAAGTTTATTCTTTTTTTTGAAAATTACAATGATAGGGATATATACTGTAATAATTCCAGGGTGTTCTAGAAATTCTAATTATTCATTATTAGGAGGTTTACGAGCTGTTGGTCAAATATTTTCTTATGAAGTAAGGTTAGCTTTAATTTTGTTATCTTTCATTTTTTTAATCGAAGGATATAATATAATTAAATTCAAAAAATTTCAATATATAGAATTTATTTGATTAAGAATTTGCTTAGCAGAAACTAATCGTACACCATTCAATTTTGCAGAAAGGGAATCGGAATTAGTGTCTGGGTTTAATGTAGAATAAAGAAGACAAGGATTTGCATTAATTTTTTTAGCTGAATATACAAGTATTTTAATTATAAGTATATTATTTTGTGTAATTTTTATAGGGTGTGGATTATTTAAAATTAAGTTTTTTTTAATTAGTTTCCATTTCTTTTTTATTTAGATAAGTTTAGGGAACTTAACTTGTTTTCGGTATGATAAATTAATATATTTACCATGAAAATGTTATTTACTATATATGATATTATATATCATATATCCCCATACGTATTTTGTTTTCACGAAACTTACATTAATGTTTTTTTTCCCGTTTCTATAAATTGTTTCACATAATAAAATGTTTTTTTTATTTTAATTTTTAATTGATAAAGGTACTTAAGCATAAATATTATAAAGAAAGCCATCATTTCAATAAGTTTAAAATGGGTTTATTGAGATTAGTAATGCTAAGGAAACTTTATTAGTTCAAATGTACACTTTTTTAGATGTTTTGGTACTTGAGTTATCGCAATGTTATAATAAATCACAGCACGAACTTCTGGATGACCCCTCAATTTGATGTTTTGAGTGCTCGCCAAACATTTTTATTCGTGCTGATATGTAAGAGCTTCCTTCGATTTTTAAGAAGTTTTTCGATTTTCCTCAATTTTCCGAAAGCATCTATCAAAGAAATGGTTTAATCACAGAATCACTATAACCTATGATTTCCGACTGTTGTCCAGTTGTCCATGACATGATAAACTCCCTTGCGTACTACATTTTCTATAATCTATTCACATATCACGAGTACAATAATATGAAATTAAATTGTGGTTTTGCTTGTAGATTGTAAACTATTTTTAAATACCACAGAGCTTGGTATTTTCATTTACGAACATAATTACCAGAGGAAAATGAGAAAAATACCAGAGAAAATAAAGATGAAATTCGGCTATGCTATGTGAATAGGTTTCACATTGATCTAACCGAATCAATATTACAATTACTTTTGCTGTTTGGAGAGTATATTAAGCGAGGGAACAGAAAGAAATATAATTCAGTTTCATAAAGCCATAAAATTAGATATATTTACTCTAAAGAGTAACTTAGTCCTACAATTCTTAATAATATCCCTCTACTGTGAATAATATATGTCAATAATGACAGCTATTGTCAAATATTTGTTGTAGTGATATATTGTATCTGAACGCAAATTACTTCTGCAAGTTGTACAAATTGGTCACACGTTTTTAAAGGAGATAAAATGGTTTACCCAGTTTGCTGGCTCAAGAATATGACTGAAACAAATGATATGCATTTGGTGATCGACCCAACTATACGCAATTGGGTTTTCATTCCAATTGTGATTATAACGTTTGCAGTTGGGCTTCTTCGCTATTATTGCGTTGCCCTTTTGGTGTCGGGAGACAAACAAGATCTGCAGCAGATCACAGATGGGTAAGATTTTGCACACATGATTAATAAAAATTAGATTTTATTACCTTTCAATAATACCATAGCCATGCCATGATGCGTGCCCGTCTTTTGATTAAGAATGGAAAATATCTGCCAAGAGACTCGTTTTTAATGCGAAAGGATTTCTTTGTCAACGAGGAAACTGGCTGCTTAACAAAAATCATTAAATCCCAACAATTAGGAAACGTACAAATGACGATGATGCAATCCTTTCAAACTCGGATGATAGAACTATTGCCAATGGTAGTAATAGGGAGTTTCATAGAAAAACTGCTTTCAGGATTTGTTGTTGCTAAGATACCATTTCCCGTCACGTTGAATTTTAAAAAACTCTTGCAACCTGAAATACATGTGAAAGCAATTGATACTTGTTGGATATCATCGCTTGCATGGTATGTACTGAATCTCGTCGGATTAAACAG